CAAGGGGTGTTTAATCTCGTCATAATCAAAAATTTTGGTGACACAAAGAGCCACTTCATCCTTGCCGACATTTTGTCCGTGGACAATATCCCTCAAGATGACAGTCCCCTCGGCCAGCACTGTGTGGTCACATGGGTCAACAAGTGTGACTGCAAAAAAGGCATAGATTCATGAACATGGGAGTAGCATCAGAGTAGAACATGAATGAGAGAGTAGACAATACGGGGTTCTTCTTTACCTTTATCACCTTCAACCCAGCTACTTCTTCGTCCTTGGCGACTGAGCCTGAGCATACAAAAAAATGAAGATCAATACTGTAACTCTAACCCTAAAGGTCATTCATTAAGAGTGTGTTTCAACCACACACCTCTTTGAGACCATGGGTATAAGAGTAAGAGAAAAAGACAACAATGGAATACTTACTTAGCATGATTTGGTGGTTGGTTGGTGGGGGGGTGGGTGGTTACAACAACATCCATACTAGGCCACTGCAACAGCTGCCCTTGGTGATGTCGCTGCCAGTGTTTTATATACCCCACCCCACTCATGCAACTCCAGTTGTCCAGACATTTCTGAAGTTCAGTCGTTGGAAAGACAATCTTAGTACGTGCTTGGTACACTCACACTCACTGGACACCTCAGTTTGCTTTTTTGCCCATCTAGCCTTCTGATTCTAGTCATGATATTGTCGTCATCGTCAGGTGCCTAGTGGAGAGAGAACTCAGTGGTTGAAGAGTGGTTGCTACTCTGCTGTAACATTTGTATGCCAAACCTCATTTCCAATTAATGCCCACCCATAATTCCACCCAAATTTCTAATTAATGCACACCCTCAATTCCAATTGGTGCCCATCCTCATTTCCAATTAATGCACGCTCACATTTCCAATTAATGCCCACCCGCAATCACAAAAATGTGAAAAACGTGCGTCTGTACATAAAAGCAATGGATATCAGGTGGATAATGGCAACATGTCTAAACGTTGAGGATAAACGGGGCCAATTCCAATTAGCGCCGAGCTACACTTCCAACTCCTAATAAACGTAAGAACGTTTATTTTTTCCCCCTTCCATCGCAGTGGTTCGAGGAGGTTCGGTCAGGTCGAACCACCCTCAACTCGTAGGCCTGCTTCTCCATGCATCACAGTGGTTGAAGGAGGTTCGGTGTGGTCAAACCACCCCGAACTCACTCAAACCTACCCTGTAGGCATTCATCCTGAAATACGAACATAGAAGTGTATACGAGCTGTAAATCTGAATAGAGGGCATTAATTGGAAATGTGGCTGGACATCAATTGGACTTGTGGGTGGGCATTAAATGGTAAATGGAAATGAGGGTGGGCATTAATTTGAAATGTGCGTGGGCAACAATTGGAATTGTGGGTGGGCATTAATCTGATACGTTCCTGTGATTATGAACCAGCTTCTATGTTCTTACACACCTTTTTCTGCGTTTTTTTTGTCACGGACACCAAATGGAATTGTGGGTGTGCGAAATGTAGGTGGGTGCAAATTGGAATTGTCCACGTTTTTTCCATATACCTCACCGTTCAACGTTTATCCGTTCATATCCGAAATCGACACGTTCTTGCACGATTTCCAATGTAATTCGGCATTTTGACACGCACAGAGCATTTGTTTTCAGTTATGTACGTGCTTCTAGGAGATCAGCTCTTATTATTTACAACTTGCAACACGTTCTTCTGCGACATTGTAGGTGGGAAACAATTGGAATTGTGGTTGAGTGTTAATTGGAAATGTACGATTAGACGTAGTTAACGAGGCGGGCCTTCTCGCGGCTAAGCGAGCGAGCGCGGGCGCAAGGCCACGGCGCATGCGAACACATTGTGCCCGCTGGGATCAACCTAGCAACGCTCGCAGGTCTCTCATCTACAGCAACAGAGCTGGGTTTTCTCCGCGAAAATTGAAAGCCATGGCCACGTCTACCAGCTCCGCGCCGTCTTCTAGTTCCCTGGCGACAACGGTAGCGAGTTCCCGGCGACCGACTACGTCTCTCGCGTCTGCAGTCTCAGTTTGTCCGAATGTCGCTACGTCAGCATTGGTTGAACAAGTCACGTCACGGGTGATGCAATCTATGTTTCCCACAGCCTCGTCTATGGGACTTGACTCTGGGGGGGTCGAGCGCCGCTCCTGGCTCCAGCGGCCTGGTTGTATCCGCTTCATATTCACCTCCCAGCTTCTATCCCCACTCAGGGTAGGCATTTCATGTGTTAACCGACGCAGCGGGGCGTTGTTGTGGCGTATAATAGCGAGCTAAGGACGCCAGCGTAATGTATGTACAACCAGTCTTATGTAGGAAGGCATCATTCTACGTTTATCACACTGATTCCACGTTTATATTTACGCTCAGGTTTGACAGGAATTGTACCGTTGTTTTTGCGTTTAATCTGCTCTGTTCGATGTTTTTTCTGAGCATTTGCACGCTCTTATTGGCTTTTGCATAGATTGTTGATACTCCAAATTGACACGTTATTCTACGTTTACACACGTTTTTGTGGGCACCTAGGAAATGTGGGTTGGTTCCAATTGGAATTTAACGTGGCTGGGCGCTTGCGATATCGCCCTATGCGGTTATGTATGCTAATGGCGCTTGAGACTCAGGGCGGCCCTGAGGGCGTGTCCAGCTAAACTAGGACCACGGTTACGCGCATGCTGTTACCGCGCGCCGTCGCGACCAAGACGACGATGGTGCGCATGCTCGATGGCCATGCTCGAGGTCGATCTTACAACGTTTCTTGGAGAGGATGGTTATTTGGCACCGACACCATATTCCACCGGGGACGTGGGGTCTCCAAGCACGTATATAGTATATTCGACGGTTACAGCATAATTTTATACACCAAGAATAACTAGACGCACATATACCATCGGTCCTACCCAACTACGTATAGGTTCTGCCGTAGGAGAAAGTTGCTCCTGCTGTGTCGCCTGACGGACCGAGACACTCGCTCTCCCTCGGCACCCAGGTACGCTGAACTTTGCCACCTACTCAAAATATTTATAAGAGCGTCCTCCACACCAGCCGACGTGGCCGCTCCTATACGGAAACTGTGGCCCGCGAAGAGCGCTGTATTCAGCCCAGCTGCTCATAGCGCACAAGAGCGGCGAATGGTGAGTGGCTGCTCATCTTCGTAGTCCAGGAGCCAAACTCCGCCGAGGAGGAGAGCCTCCTCCGGACAAAGCTCTCGTCCCGTTCTCCCGAGACAAATGGTCACACCCAGGCGGAATGGATCCGTTTTCGAGGCTTTTATGCGAACCAGAATCTTAGACGGTGCTGACCTTGAATCGAAGAGGACATCTATCGAGTGCGCTCCCGGATCGTACGCCAACGCCGACGGCAGAGTTGCCTCCTCCGACCTCAGGAAGCCGAAAAAGCAAGTGCACGCAACTGCCCACAGCATGACCGTGTTGAAATCGACGTCCCATGAGCCTCCGTATGATGACCGTGGTGATTGACACGTACTGTAGAACCACCATCTGTGTGTCGCAACCCCGGCGTTTAAAATCTGAAGGTAGAGCAGCGCTGACAGATAAGACTTTATGGTTCTGAATGATATATTCCATTCAGCTAGCCATGCGGAGTATCTGATTGAACGGCAGAGTAGGTAGGTTAGTGGCCAAGCAAAATTCGGCGTGCCGAGGTGTAGGCGCGTATATACCCTTGTCGGAGCTAAAGCTGTGTCTTGAACTTCTGCGTCTGTGCCAGGTGGCAGCGGCCATGACATACCACCTGCATGATGCCGACCAGGGACTCGAACTCCCCTTCGGGTGGGCACCAATTGGAATATTGGGTGGGAATTTTGGGTGAGCACCAATTGGAATTGGAATTGTGGGTGGGCATTTCTGTGAATATATTTTATTTGTACAAGGGCACCAAAAAGGACTGACACAGACGCACAAAAAGGACAAAAAAAGACAAATAAGCAACTCAACTTACACCATCTAAAGCTGGAGTGAGGTAGGGTTTGCACGTTTTCTGCGCATCATAAGGTTGCTTGCGCATGGTTTTATGGAACACGTTTTTCTGCATGCGGCTGTCTGCGCGAGTTCTTGCAGTACAGACTACGAGGAGGCCAATGAGTGGCACCAACGGATTGGGAACAACGAGAAGATGGATATCAACGTGGCGATTTGATCCGGTGTCACAGTATATTTTATCCCCCGTATATTTTATCCGGGGGATAGTATATTCTATCCGGCCGGATAGAATACTCTTAGTGTGGAATATCCGGGGTCCGGATATTTTATCCCTCTAATAAGAAAAGTTTCTGCGCATACGGTTGCGCATCTAAACGCGCGGGACCATTTTGTTGGCGCCGTCGCTGCTCATACAGAGTTGAATCTGCACGACTGCACTCTTTCTCTTCGAGACACAGCGGTTGCGCGGGTCTGCTCGCCTTCACCTGCGAACCTGAGCCCCACGCTCGCTGGGATATCCGGTAGTGTTCTACAGTCCGCTGGTGTAACTCCAAACAAGGCTGTCATCGCATTCTGTAACGTTCAAATCCCCACAGAACCTCAAAATAACACACCCCGCCTGCGTTTCGACACTCCTAATAACGCACAGCACGGGGTATAAAATATCCCGGGTGCGGATAGAATATCTTAGGAAATTTTATCCAGGGGGGATAGAATATCCTATCCCCCCGGATAAAAATTCGGGGGGATGAAATGTATCGCGACACCGGTAGGCGGGCGGCATGGCGGCATTATCTCCACCGACGCATCCTCAGAAGTGGTCTGTCGGCACTTGGATGTCGAAGTCGGAGCTTTGAGGTTCTTTCATCTACCCTTCAGTGAGACATGACATAAATGTCTGAGCAGGCTGAAACGCAGGCACAGACGGTCTGTAAAACAAAATATCGCCACAGCGCGCGTGCGCAGGATGAAAGGGGTGTGTCGATTTGGGCAGAATCACGCATGCGTGCGTGGAGGTTTTTCGCCTTTGTAATCGCAAAATCAGGCGTTTACTTCGCTGCGCATGCGCGCCGAGGACTGTCCGAACAGAGGAGTGGACGACAGCCTTTGCTTCAGCGGTGCAGAGATACCGGATATGCCCCCTAAAGTTATCCGGACGAGTAGGTGAGTGAACACTGGTATTGGATGACGTTTACACCTCAAAAACTACACTGCACTGCAAGTGTTAGAAAATCGGCTGACCAAGATGGAAAGGCCTGGTTTCAGGTAAGACTGGACAAGGGTCAAGGAAGGGCTAAGGAAGTAGGGTCTCTTTAATTTGTGCTAAAAACGTATGGCTAAGAGTCACTGCATCAGGTTAGCTACTCATGTACGCAAGTGAAAGAGTGTTATCTGAGACAGGGTAACAACGCTGCAATACCTGGCATCACTGTAGTCTCAAGTTCAATCAGGCCCGCCTTCAGTAATTTTATGTCCTCGGTGTAGTTTGCCTTCGCTTCACTATGACGTTGTTGACATGCCTTGTGACTTCCCTTGCCCTAGCCCCTTAATCCTTAGCACTAGCTCCTCCTTACAGTTCACAACATGCGCAAAACCTGGCCTTTAAACATGCGGGCCATTTTCTAACCCTTGATCCCAGAAGTAAAAGGTCTTTCAGTGTTCCAGTCCAATGATTAGGGACTTCTCTGCCAATTGGTAGGCACACAACTATTTGCCAGCAATTGTTTAAGGTGCTTGGGACCTGGACAGATTGGCGGACACTATTTACAGCAGTCATAGTTGAGCCTTTGTACTCTTTCATGCATTCCATAGGTTAAGGCTGAAAAGCTTGCAGACCTAGCCTGGATTAACCATATCTCAAGCCTAGATTAGCCGACCTAGTTTTAGCCCTGGCCCTGATTAGCCGATTTATTCTGAGCCTTAGCCTAGATTAGCCGAGTTGTGCTCGGAAAATGATACAATTAAGAAATGGATCCTACTAGTACACAGGTGGCGATAGGTTTATAATATAATATTTTGTAATTGAGGGTGAGATAGATGCATGGGATTTTTTATCATCAACTTCTGGACACCCACATTTAGTCTCCCAAAGGTGTACAAGCCCCACCCACTCTCCTTGCATGAGGGTCTTGCGATTGATAATCCACTCAAATGCCAAGTGATCATCTCAAATGATATTGAACAGAACATGAAAATGTGGGTGCACAGTTGTGTTTTTCTTAAACCACACTTTCTGGTTGTATGGTAATATAACTCTGAAAATAGGTTTAAAATAGTAACAAGTAACAATTAGAACATGAAAAGCACACACCCTTGGCGAACTACGCATATGCGCCTTACTGCTAATTGATGGGCTGGGCCATTAGTATGCATTTAATCGTGGTCTCCACACTAGTAGGAGAGTGACACGGGCTAGCAACACTAGTAGATAGCACGCAGGAGTTGATGGGCACCCTTCGTTGTACCTTTTTGTGTCTCCATGGTACCGAGATGAAGCGGATCAGGTCGACGTAAGCCAGCGTGATTATGCATATTGTTTTTTTCGCTTGTTTTCACAGCATATCTCTGAATGCAATCTTTTCAGGAAAATCACGTTCTATTTTTCAGGCTCACGTAGTTCTGAAGCCTTTGGTATCGTTTATAGGCCGCCTCGTGGCCTAGTTCCAGAATAAACGTCGACAGACACGGACAGACAAAGTACTGTAACCCTCGCTGCGCATCGGCACCGAAGGTTAATGAAGTTACGAAATAGAATATGAGGGCTGCTGTATCATATTATAATGTGTCACAAATGAACTCACCTTTTAGGCACCATTTAGTACTGGTCACATGACTTCTGACCAATGAGATGCATGGAAGAGTGCATTACATCATGTAATGTGCACTTAAGTGTGCAATAACCAGATGATGCACACTTTTAATGACAGGTTTGCTCTGCTTCGACGCTCGATCGCCTATTATTCGTGTGTGCGTTGTCTGGAGGGAGGGCTACGTGACTTACTGAGAAGGCGGATAAGATCACTCGACACAGGCGGTGCGTAGAGCTTAGCACTAACGCAGTCACTCGTGACAGGCATTACTACAGCAGTTTACTGGCACATGCAATGCTCTGCAGACTACCTACTCTTGAGGTCGAACTGGCAGGACAGGAAGGGTGGCCCTGGTCCACCGAAGAAGTCATGTGACCAGAAATAAAACACTTGTAAGACAAGCTAACTTTGCATGTTTCAATTTTGTGCACTCGAATGATGCTATGGCACATGAGCCGCAGGCTTGTGCATTACGCAACCTTGTGCGCTATTGCATCATTCTTGTGCACACACATTAAAACATCTAAACTATTACATGAATGTCAAAATGATTTTTCCCGCTGCTTATTTGCACCATGCATGCTATAGTAAATGTTTTGTTGTATGCAGTTGGAGTTTAGGGTATGTAGACAGGCAGTTCTGTTGTGCAAAGCGTAAGTGTTTGCACCTGCTCATCAATGACTCTCTGCTAACTCTCCTACAATCATGAAGGAAATTTCTATGGCATTCATTCATAGCTGTTGACATCAGGAACAAATCTCCTTGTGGCCTACTTTGCAATGGTTGCACTAAAGAGCTTTCACATGGAGAATACATTGCATTATTAAAGCCTAACTTCCAGAGACCAGGAATTACTGTTACTAATTATTATGTAGACCTCTAAACTACTCACCTTTTACTCTCTTGTGCAGAAACAGTGGAGATTTGCCTGCCTATAGTATTGGCATAAAGTAGGTATACATCTGACAAAAGGCGAATGTCACTGAAATGGAGGACATAAATTAAATGTGTATTACCTTAGACGCCAGTATTTACATGCAGTATTAGTCCTGTCCATTGTTCTGGATGTATTCCCCAGTGCTTAGGCTACCACCTTAATATTAAAATTACGAATGGCACGCATTTTTGGCGAGCGAGCACGAGCCGTCCAATTTTGCATGCCTTTTAAAATGGCGTTCAATTGTTCACACGTATTCAGACTCACGTAGAACATTACGGTATGTATGTTCAGTACCAATCACATAATTTTACAAGTAAAATTCTCGCGGAGAGTCTGACACGGGCAATACACACCCTTCGTAAGATACACAGAGTACTCTTGTTCGCATATTGCCTTTTTCGCTCGTGTTTCACGCCGTAACACCCGAATGCAGCAGTGATGAAGTAACTAAAGAAAATTTCCTAAGGGTGTTTGTTGTTGTTTACAAATATGTATTGTTGTGATTTCAATGTTTGTTACAAATTCTCTTTTACGTCACTCTCACCATTTCCCTTTATAATGTGTTGCCTGTGGTTATTTGTTGTAACCCTCGGCGTGCATGCACAGCAAGGGTTACGGTATTTTGTATTGAGTATGTCTCTGTCTGTCTGTCTGTCTGTCTGTCTGTCTGTCTGTCTGTCTGTCTGTCTGTCTGTCTGTCTGTCTGTCTGTCTGTCTGTCTGTCTGTCTGTCTGTCTGTCTGTCTGTCTGTCTGTCTGTCTGTCTGTCTGTCTGTCTGTCTGTCCGTCCGTCCGTCCGTCGTCCGTCCGTCCGACAACAAAAGAGCGATACCAAAAGGTTCATCACTACAAATGTGGCAAATTTTGTAAAGTACTGCGTTCCAGAGTTATGGTGTGAAAACCAAGTGAATGCTAATAAGCACAGGCTTACCTCGACCATGACCAATTGTTTTGTGTATCTTGAAGACACAAGAAGTCACAATGACGGGTGTGTATTGACTCCAGAATGCTATCCACTACTGTACGTAGCTAGTCCGTGACAAGACTCTCCGCGAGGCAGCACTAGCGTGGAGACCGCGAGAGTAAACGCATACCAATAGCCCTGCCCATCAATTAGCGGTACCACACTTATGCAGTTCGCCGAGGGTTTGCACTTTAGTGTTATAGTAACCATTATTAAGTATTACCATGCTATCTGCATAGCCACATTACAAAATTTAATGACTATATGTTATTTCGGTTTTGAGTTACGTGAGTTTAATCTGAAGAAGATGATGAAAAACTTTCTCTATCTTAGCTCCATAGCTGTCCTGGTTGTAGTTGACTTGATTGCCTTGCTTTGCCTTTCTATCTCGTTACCAAGTTGTTGAGACATGCATATACTCGGTTTTGAGTTGGGCGTCATTGGTTATTTAATTACCCCGGTCTGCTTCTACATACTGAGTGAGAGTGAGTGTGGCACAGTTGTATAATAGGTGATGCCTACAAACTTTGACCTGACTTTCCTTGCTCATGTACAATTTCCTCCACACAAGCTCTACATTGTCGCGAAGTATGAGTGTCCTCCCTTGTTTGATGCACAGCTATGATTTATTTCATAAGCACATAAGACAGGTAATGCCATCTCCTCGGTTTTAAGTTGTGACTGCATTGTGTGACTTCTACATTTACTCAACTAACTAGTTTTACAATGCTGCATTCTTGGCCATCTATAGAATCTCATCACCAGTGTCCTCGCACTTTACACCATTAAAACACTTTGGGCGCTGCGCGCGTAATTGTCACGAAAGTGGCGCGGAATTATGTATTACACGGATGGGCGTGGCAATATTCCGCGCATGCGTACGCAGAGAAATTTCCTCAATACTACGCGGTGCGCAAAGTGTTAATTAACTAAACAAACTCGTGTCAGTGAGTAATGGTGGCGACAATATAGTGCTTGTGTGGAGGAAATTTTAAACGTGCAGTCAAAGTCAGTTCAAAGTATGTAGCCCATCATCCATTGTACTGCGTCACATATCCTTGTCTTATATCTTTGCTTTTATACCATCCCGATATTTACAATTTTTGTAGTGTGTATATTGTGGGGTATATATAATGCCCATAATTAGTAGCCTTATATATGTTGGGGATCGATTAAAAACCATAAGCCCGTTTTAAAGCCGTCCAGACGGTTTTAAAACAGGCCAGCTGGTTTTAAAGCCGTCCAGGCCAGTTTAAAGCCGTCTAGAAGCCGTCCAGACAGCTTTAAAACCGTCCAGCTCGATTGAAGGCCGTCAGGAAGAAGCAACCTATCTACCAGTCGTTACTTCTACCTCAGCAGTCAGCCGCGAACTTTGACACTCGTCCCGCCCGCCCAGGGCGAGCTGTCACAGCCATGCGCTCAAGATCGATCGCGCACGTGTGCGCGGCGTTACGTGGCTAGACTCAGCTCCCGCGATCACCTGCCCAGCCCGTCCTTGTTTTCTCTGCCGCCACTGGGCGCAGTAGACGACAGCACTTGCAATGCCGCAGGCTGGAACAACAGCTGCTGGCACGGTAGGACACTGCTGCCGGCCCAGTTTTATTAATGCACGGACCCATGCTCGCAAGGCCGGTGGCTGGAGCAGCTTCTGGCACGGTAGGACACTACTTCCGGCCCCACATGCGCGGCCGTTCGCTGGAACAGCCGTTGCGCGGTAATGAACGACGCAGTAATGAACAACATGGTCATCCTGATCGTCTGCTTAAAAACCGTCTGGCTTAACATCAGGGCGGCTTAAAAACCGTCGGACCGGAATTAAAGCCGTCTGGCCCGTTTTAAAGCCGTCAGACGACTTTAAAACGGGCCGGGTTTTTAATTGCTATCATTTCCGATGTTTTACCATTCACATGTTTCTTGTACATCAGTTCACCAAGTTTCATTGTGAGAGGACCCACCATAACCAAGTTATAGGCACTAACACCATATACAGTGTTTTTGCCTGAAGCTATTTGTTGTTGTTTACAACCTTGTAATATCTGTTTTGATGAACTCTTGTCTTGGTAAATCAGTGTACCAAGTTTCATTTTTAGAGGACCCGAAATAAGGAAGTTAAAGGCACAAACACCATTTACACGTTTTTATTGCCTAAGGCTTTGTTGTTTGTTGTTGTTTACCAACTTGTAATTATACTTTCTATGAACTCTTATCGTGGTACATCTGTGTACAAAGTTTGAGGACCAAACACAACCGCTTATTGCCTTACCCTGTATGTTGTTGTTGACAAACTTGTAATGTTTGTTTTTGTGAACTCTCATCGTGGTACATCAGTGTAACAAATTTCATTGTGAGAGGTCCCAGCATAAGCAAGTTATTGGCACAGTTTACAAGTTTTATTGCCTGAGGCTGTTTGTTGTTATTTACAAACTTGTAATTTTTCAAATGAACTCTTATCATGGTACATCAGTGTACCAAGTTTCATTGATAGAGGATCAACCATAACCAAGTTACAAGGTTTTATTGGCTCAACCTTTTTGTTCTTCTTCTAATTTCTCTTTCGATGAAATATTATCATCAGTGTACCAAGTTTAATTGTTATAGGACCCACATGAGCAGTTTATAGGCACAAAGTTTTTATTGCCAGAGGCTGTGTGTTGTTTACAAACTTGTAATGTTTAATAATGATGGGTTTCATATGTGTACATTGTTACCTCTCTGGGTCGTCTATGTAGTTAGCTCACTTTATTGGTCCCTATCATAATGTGTTTCCGAGGGATATTTTTGGTTGACAATATTGTAAAAATGCTCTTGCACCACCTGTCTTGGAAACTTTCATCTCCATATCTTTCCTGGTTTTTACGATGCGCTTGTCGAAACTGAACAACAACGAGAAGAAGAGTTTTTAAATCTAACATTCTTGAATAAATCATTATGCTATTTAATCCATTTCTTGGGTACATGCTCTCTTTGGGATGAGACTGGTATGGGATCTGAAAGTGAAACGTACAAATCTCAAATGTATGGGCATAATGCAGGAAACCTGTGTCATCACTATAATATATATGTTTTGTACTACGTGCGAGGGACATACCCGATTTCAATGATACGTTTGTAGTGTCCCGAGCACAGCAAGTGCACTACGCTGATTCCTTGAGGAATCTGGTATATCCCAATTATACTCAGTACATGAGTAAAACTTTTCCCCACAATACTCTGGTCAATAATCACACTACACCAAACGTTTCAACTGCATCAGCTGTCCTCATCAGTGGTGATGTACGTAGTGACTCGTTGCAGGCCCATTTTATGCGTGAGAGGAAAGGAATGAAGGAATTCCACTGTCGTCATGTAGGATCTTAAGGGGTTTGTAAGGTCGGTCAGAGATCCATATTGTCATCATATTCAGTTCTACCCATCATGACAGTTGACCTACTTTGTCTGCTGGAGCAATAACTGAGCACTCGTTCTTGGCTTAGTTCGGTGATAGCTCTCCTTTCCTCCTCTGACACATTGTTTGTTGGAAGCTTAATCTTTTTCAAAAGACTTATCACCTTCCGTCTGATGTCTTCATCCCTCCGCTCACATGTCAGCAGTGGTTAGCCGGGCAGATGTGGTGAACACAAAACGTTCTGAGATGTTTACAGCACTGGAATCTAACAACTACCCGCGGTTCTTCCTTCCAAAAGCTAGCCAGGGAGCCTCATGCAGATCTCACAGCAATGAACAGGAGAAGCAGACCTCTATAGTCATTCCGTACATCCATTGGTTGTCCGACTGCTGCTATCAACGATCAACGTCAGAGTACTCACACCACACTCAAACAAATCCAAGTGAAAGTGACAGACCGCATGCAGAGAAGCAATGTTGTCTACGGATTACTTGAAGAACTTGTCACCAAGTCTGCATTGGTCGGACCAGCTGGTTGATTAAGACCCGGTTTAATGAGCACAAGGCAGCGGTCAAGCATGCAAGGACTGAGGGTCTATAGTAGTCTGGGTCTTGAAACATCAAGTGGATTTCAAGCAGCCTCAGTCCTTGAAGAGGAAACCAATCTCCACCAACGACTGGCACTGGAGTCCTGGCACATCAAGAAACACTCCTCTTTTAACCGGGAGGCAGGCGCTCTTTCTTCTGCCTATACATGTCTTTGTAGTTTCACTGTCACTGAGTTAGGTTGCTCCATCATTTTTTTTGTTTTTGTTTTGCTTCGTTTTTACATTGGTGTTGTATTTTTTCCTCTCTCTTCCATTTTTGTGCTTTTTTATACCTTTTCTCCATTTTTTTCACCTGCTCTTGTTATCTTATCCTCGCACATCAACCTACCTGCTGACGCCAGTGGAATTTTCTTCATTCCTTTCTCTCTCACGCATAAAATTGGCCTGCAACCTGTCACTATGTACATCGTACATCATCACTGCTTAATGCAGTTCAAACATCTGGTGAAATGTGATTATTATGTTTGACTACAATATTTTGGGAAAAGTTCTGGCTTCAAGCTATGCAGCCTAGTCAACTAAGAAATATTTAAGAGTACGTAACATGTTTAGTGCAGAGCAAATCAGCTTTGTTGCCTTTCCAAGCACAGGGAGTTTGAAAGATGTGAGAAAGACACGTGAGAGCAAGACCGTCACCTCCTAAACGCCAAACTTAGGATTTGCTACTCACCCACTCTAGCTACGCCCGCTGTGGGACAGTCTTCCGCCCCTTGTGTGAAGAAATGCGACGGGAGACATGCACGAACCGTCACGATGTATGCAACCAGACAGAGGCAAGAGTGGAGAGTTCAGGTGCTGTGCAGGCCGTAGAGTAGTAACTGTCACGTGCACTCGCTTGCGGAGCCCCACCCCCTTATTTGCGTGCAGAGGTTTGTGGGTGGGCGTGAGCTGCCTGGCTACGTTCGTGGTAAGGAGGGAGACGGGCTCAAAACTGTCTTGTGGAAAGGAGGGAGACGGGCTCAAAACTGTCTTGTGGAGAAAGGAAATCAAGATATCAGTTATTTTGATCAACATTTTGTAGAGATCATGTTTTGCAGTATACATGAACTTGTCGAAAATCCTCATATCATGTTTTTTAGTTACTGATGAGCTCATAGTGAAATGTAGAACTCGTCACTAACAAACTCGCATGGTCATTTTGAATCAGCTATGCACTAAACTAAGTACTACCGTACTTAATGATATGCCATACTTAGTGACAACGACTAGGTTGGCTCATTTCCCTTGCAAACTTGCTCTTTGTTGTCCTTTTTAAACTTTAATTATTGTACTTAGGATTAGAATCATGTATTTCTTAGGAGTCTGAAGAACACCGATATTGGAATAGATATATCAGTTCCTGGTCATGAACCTGCTTCTTCCCCGAAAGTTGTGAAGAGATACCATGTTCTTGTATTACCTCTCTGCCACACTTTAAGGAGGCTACACAAAGTGAAGGTTCAGTTGTGCAGTTTACGGTAAGACCATCAGGTTAGATAAATATCAATTTTTTAATGGTCTTGAGCAGTTGTTTACAGAATGAGATTGAAAACTGTTCATAGGGCCATGTCGTGCTGTGTCCAACGTCTAGCTGCATCAGGGAGTAGCGATTTAGAGCAACACTTGGCTAGATACCTGTGACCTGAAACATTGATGACTCAACTGTGATTAACAGGCTAAAACTAGTGTAGTAAGCTGACCTTTTAACTTGTTTGTTTTTACACCATAATCTTGCTTAGAGAAAACACATTTTGTGCGTGGAATGGAATGTGAATGAAGCAGCCGACACACTAGACTTTACACAGACTGGGTACTGTAACGCTCACTGCACCCTTCACCTTGAACACGCTGGTGCATAGGCTTGCTCTTTGTCTCCGAAAATTCATGTGTTCGCCTACTACTTTATTGCCGTCTTAATGCACATGTGTATATATTTATACAATACATGACACAGTAGTACATAGTTTTGAGCATCCCTCAGTAATTAACCCTCGGCAAGTCCGCCTGTCTGTCTGTCCAAACATCTTAGTCTCGCCTCTCGTGCTGTGACATGCAAAATTAGAGTGTGTTTGTTTACCGTGGCAAAGTCCGCCATTTCTATTTTGGGACTGAAATGCATGCAGTAAGCTTCGCGCATCAGTATGGTTGCAATGTTGTGGGGTGCGGTACGAGCTAGTTTGGGCCAGTGGGTCCAAGCCGTTGTCCTCAATAAAACGAGCGCACTATCCGCTGTCGAGTTGCTGGTAGTTATTTTCGCACCGAGGTCTCTAATGGAAGGTTACAATGTCTGTGTGGGACAATTGTGTACATCATAATAAGACTGAAGTCATATGCATGATGTCTAAATTCACACTCTTTCCTTACCATCTGAGATGTGAGAGAACAGCACTCATGGTAAATTAATCAATGAGGCTCTAAACTACTAGTATTCTAGCCAGAATTTTACAGGGTTTCTGGAGAAGGTATGCTTTGTATATAGAAGCAGTTACTCATTTTAATGAAAAGCACTGAAGTGCAAACCCTCGGCGAACTGCGCATGCGCGGTATATTAGTATGCCCGCTAATAGTATATAGCTCGCAGAGTCTGACATGGGCTAGCTACAGTAGTAGATTAGCATGCGAGAGTCGATACACGCCCTTCGTTGTGACTTCTTGTGCCTTCAAAATACACAGAGCAAGCAGACCCGGTCCTGTGCTAAATATAAGCGCATGCGCATTTTCCGCAGCGATAAAAATGGCCGACTACGCATTAGCCGTACAATGGTGGAAGCGCTCTAGCTTTGCAACGGAACGTTTTCAGAGAAAACACGTTCGAAAATTTCTGACCTTCATTGCCGTTCGGTAGGTGGTATCCTTTGTGAGACGAAAGACACTCGAGAAGTGAGATGAAGAGTAACAGACAGACAGACACACAGCCAGACACACAACCAACTACTGTAACCTCGATGAGCGCATGCGCGCCGAGGTGACGACATACACCTCAACAATCAATTATGTGCGCAAGCATAAATATGTAAGCGCTGGCACAGAGAGCATAGTTATGACTTTTGCCTTACATGTCTTCTTCCACAGGTGCTTCGAGATTATGAAGCATTTGAAAATTTGCAAAAGGATGTGCTTCAGTCCTTTCCAAACCTCAAGTTACCAAGTCTGCCACGAAAATATCACTTGTTTACAAGTGATACTGATATAGAAGAACGGCAAATTGCTTTTGATTGTCTTCTTAAGGTATATGCACTTTTACTAACTTAACACTATATCTGGGTAGTGTGCAGGTATGGGGCATGCTGTTTCCAAACTTTTACAGCAGACAAAAGATGCTATGACACAGCCGCCATCTTATGTGTGTACATAAAACCTTGGCCTGCCTAGCCAGCGTGCGTCGTGCGTACAGTAGTTGACTTCGTGAGTGGTAAGTCTGTCTGTCTGTCTGTTACCACATTTTCTGCCTCCACACAAAAAATCGGGCAAAAACGATAGTAGTATTGAACTAGGTTAATTGGCAAGCGGGAGCGAGCTAACCTAGTCGTTCGTTACGCACTTCTTATTATTCACATTTTCACACACGCTGTCTCGCGATATGCGCCGCCGATCCATCTAGCCAGTGAGAGAACTCTCCTCCATTCGACGGCATGCGCTGCAATCTTCGGTGACTGACCGAGGCTGTACCTATTCCCAATCTTCATGGTTCGAAGGTGCAACATGCAACTTGGAAATAAGCTAGGATTGCTGGTGCAGATACTGCTGCCTGGTGGACCACGACTGACGAGCTGAGAGCATAAGGTAAGTACCGTTCTGCTCACCGTTCTGGCAATAGTACGCATGTAACGGCGACAGGTAGATCTGTCTTGCTTCACAAAAAGAAAGCTGTGCGCTGACGGCACGTTATGCAGCCCTAACATCGCGGGCAAATCCCAAGTTGGGTCACTCCCGCTCGCCAACACTCAATGTTCAACATTTCCACTAAGTATCATAGGCCAGTCCTAGCGCGCATATCATGGGGACGCATGCGCAGTGGCATAGCACATCCGAAGCTGAGGAAGACAGCGGCTCCGATCGATGCAAGGACAGCTGCGTAATCTGTGTGCAGCGTTCGAACGTGACATCCGTGATGAGCGCAGCGGGTGAAGACAGAGCCGGGCCATCTCAAAGACCCCCCCAGACCCCACCATAACCTCGACAGCAACTGCAGCAGCTGTGTTGCCTGGCACCGCTACAAACGCAGCGGACGAACCAGGCCCAGTTCTCTCCGCCATTCGCCTGGTGGTCCAAGAGGAGATACGGGGAGCCCTGGCAGGATCTAGCGTGCCAAGTCACTCGGAGAGGGAATCCCAGCGCTCGACCGCGACGTCCCTGCTCCCAGGGGAAGGTCCTACCGTACATGTTATAATTATGCGGCGGGGGTTGAGGGTGTTGTGTTGTGTCATCAACACTTCACCCGCGCCTCGGCGCCTGAGGACATGTCTGGGATGGAACCTGGCGTTCCCCCGTCTGGCATTGTGTGTATTACGGGGGTGGTGAAGCAGCCTCCCACTGACAAGCCATTACCCCTCTTCCCCTTCCCCCAGCTCCCCTAGGCTCTCTCCCAGTGGCGTCGCCATTGCCGGCTTGCATACCATCCGTCATGGCATAAGCGCTGCCAGCACCATGGCAAGCACTGCCAGGCCCCTTGCAGGATTCGATGGACTTGCAGCATCTCTGTGTGTCAGCTGGTGGGGGCGGGGGCGTCACCACATTGTCAAAGCAGGGGCATGCCAAGAATGTGCAGTTGTGCTATCCACAGCTTTGTCCCCTGTGGTGGCAAAGCTGGCCACTAAAATAAAGTCAGGCCAATATGTGGGAATAAAAGAGCTGCTAGCGGACAATATGTCTCTTTGCTCCCAGCTAGAGGCCCTCCCTGCCCACCAGCGTCTCAACCAAATCCAGCCTCAATACCTGGCCTACGCTAGTAAAGTTTTGACTCTGAAGGTTGTTCAGCTGAACCAACACACTACTTGGGCTTGAGGCCTTGTAGTAGTGCGCCACAATCCAGAAAAGGGGATCCGCTGCTGTGGGAGATCGACATCCTGCTGACGTGGGTGTCCTGCTTCCTGGCCTATGCCGCGGTCAATCAGACTTGCGACATACTGACTTAGGTGGCTGGAGCGATCGGATCTTCAGCAGCACGCAGCACTCAGCCCCAGCACTGCATGGAATGAGTTAAACCCAAGCCTCCATGCATGGACTGTCCTCTCGTTCAGGGCCGGCCCAGGGTGGGTCTGCAGTCTCTGCCATGAGCCAGACCATGCAATGGGAGCATGTACACTGTGAGCACACCAGCACCTGGGCCAAGGAGGAAGCTACCACAGGAGACCCTAGAGCGCATATGCATCTCGTGGAATTGTGGTCGTTGCGCATATCCAGCCTGCAAGTTCTGTGACGTATGCGCTGTATGCAAGGGCCATTGAGCCAAGGACTGTCAGCTATACTCAGCCTGCAAGGCACCCCTATCTGGCTCACCTAAAGGCAGTGCCGGGGGAGTGGCATGCAAGACTGTAGGCTGGCCCACCCCAAGTTCAACTACCGCAGCTGGGGCCGCAGTGACTCATGTGTTGTGTTATTCATGTGGCACCCGGCCACTGACTATGCTCTATGTACCCCTCAGGACAATGTCTGCGGCTGAGGCTGCACTGTCTCTTATGTCACTTGTTATGGTTTGATCTGTGAGTTTTAATATGAGTGCAAGCATGTTACCGTACCATTGCGCAAACGGCGTGAGAGCCACAGTGACTATACCGTCCCATCTGCCCCTCTAGACACACCTTCACCAGGAAACTTGGCTGGTAGCCACTAGGTGTCACTGGAGGCCACGGCCCCAGATGCTTGGCCCCAGATGCTTTGTCCCACTGGTCACCCAGGCCGTGGGGCTTGCTCGGGCAGACCATCTAGACAACCAATTCACAACTTACATTCTCAATGGCATGCAGCGTGGGTTTCACATTGGAAGCAATCCGCCCCGCAAGAAATGGCAACCTCCCCTCGGTTAGGCAGCACCCAACACTGGCAGCTGATCACTTGAAGGCGGAGTGGGATGCGGGCCGCCTGCTTGATTCACTGCCGGCCCACCTAGCTGACTGCTGTCAAACCAGTCCAATTGGACACTTAACTAACTCGGGGCCTACCTGGTCTGGATAGGATTAACTGGGGTCGTGAGGACCCATATGCTTCATAAACAGGGATTAGTATCGTGCAAGGGTTTTGCACCCTTGCTGAAAAGTCACCTAGCAGATTAATGACCTTTGACCCTACGTGCCCCTTGCACGATTGCATAATACCTTAAAGTGCCCCTGCAATCATTGACATGGGATACCAACAGCCCAAAAAGGGTGCCTAACCTCCATAAAGCTAGTCCCATGACAATGTTATTGAACATCTTCATACTTCTTGGTAAGAAACACAACTCAGTACTAGGCATTGCTCGTCAGAGTTTGGGAGACTGCAGCTAGCTGGGACCTTGGTAGTTTGATGTATGTCTTGTAGGCGGCACTTTTCCAATGGCCTAAGGTTTGAATAAGAGAGTCCTCCAGTCCTTTTGAGCTGCCGTGGTTGCTGCATCCGATCTAAAGCTATACCGTTGAAGTCGGAGGGGTTGATCCAGCTCGTTGGAGTGCTTGCTGTAGCCTGGCCATAGTGATGCTCGTGTGAGTGCGCGCCAGACTCGAACAGGAACAGTGCCCCTGGGTGATGGCCTGACCCAAAGGTACTCAATCAGCCTTGACCGGGCACCACTGGTCCATCGTGCTGCCAATATAAATGTCACCCTGGCGGAAGGGGGTCGTTTGCTCTGCTTGATTGGCGAGGCGGATAAGAGATGGGGTGTCGTGGCTGTCTATGGCAAGGTCCCCCTAGCTCAAGTGTACATCTGGATCATCGGCTTGGCTTGACGGAACAGTGAGCTCGCCGGCCTAAGAACCAAAGAAGCCGGTGCAGGCGCTGCCCAGAGCATCTATCTCCAAAGTGACTGGCGGGGTTAGCACACACCTCTTGAGGTTTCGCTAGACACCTCAATGGTGATGGGGAGGCGCGGCTTGGTGACTGGGCCCTTGCGTGGCGTTTGTGGGCGCTTTGGTTGATCCATTTTAGTACGTAATTAAGGACGAGGATGTCTTCCCTGAAGGGGTTTGCTAGGCCTTTTAATTGATATGAGCGAAAGCAGCCCGAGATAAGAGCCTTTATTGTTCTGTGTGCTGTTTAGGTTCTGTTGCTACGACAAGCGGCCAGAGAGTGGGCCTGCTTATGGGAACTCCAATCAACGCGGCCCCCAAGTAGCCACTGGAAGAACGATGGGGGCCAAATCTTTGGGTAGCGGTGGCACACATGTTCCCTCCCACTGCTGCGGCGCCCTCATGGGAGCTGATCCAGGAGGTTCGATGACAAACTGCGCCACACCCCAGTGGCAACCGATGCATCTGATTGTTAGGACGTGGGAGTAGTGGAGGTGGCTGTTGGCGCGGATCATGCTAATGCCGTCCACATGTATGCAGGAAGGTCATGCCACAGTGCAGATCTTGCCTTGACTGCGATGCTAAGGTGCACTGGTTGTTCCAGTCGAATCGACTGAATAGACGCGCGATTAGGCTTCGAAATGAATGCCCTCTACTCTGGGTCGTACCTCCTTTGCTGCATGGTTGTTAGCAGACCACATGAGGACAGCTAGGTCACGCTGGTGCTTACCGATCGACGGGGACTTCGTCGCGCTTCCGTCATTATGGCGATAGCTAGCCAGCAGTCTACTCCTTCTTGGCGCGGGGTGTGCAGACGTTCGGTAGTGCCTCGGCTGGTGCTCTAGCTCGTTCCAGGATAAAATTAGACAGGTCGACGCTGCGGTCTGTCATGTTGTCTGTGGCCACAGGCAAGCCAACATGATCGCAGAGAGTGAGCGCTGCAGCCAATGCCTCATGACATGTTCGAGATCCAGCTGGGCCGAGTAGAAGGAAATCATCCAAGTAATGAAGTCCGAACTGAATGCCCTTGTTGTGGAGGCACCACATGAACCCATCTGTTAGGGCACTGAACAGCTTTGGTGCTGAGCGTAGGCCAAATGGAAGTGCCCGATCGATATAGGTAGCTCCTTGCCAGTGAACACCCAACTTTGCTTGGTCAGCTGGGTGTACTGGGACTGCCCTGTACGCTTCTTGCAGATCCAACTTTGCCAAGAGGCACCCGTGTCCAAGCTTGTTGATGAGGTG